GGGACGGTGGCTCCATCCACATACAGAGGGGAGGGGAGGCTGGGTGGCTGAGAGTGAAACTGAGCTGAGCAGGCTCGCCTACAGAGCACTGGAACGTTCTCTGCCTCATTGAGCTCACCTGAGAGGCACCCCCCGCCCCCCCCCGCCCCCGCACACAGCGCACACCGCAGCACCACAACCAGCGCGCACTCTGTCCTCACATATCCCAGCGCAGCTTCCTCTGCTCGCCAGGTGGAGAGTGTGTTCAGGGAGGGTACGGGGCAGGACACCCAAGGGTTTACAAAGAGGAGGGAAAGAACAAAGAGAAAAAGACCACTTAGCAAGGGGGCGAGCCCCGCGGCCACCAGCTGGCCTGAGAGGAGGCGGGCGGCAGGGCGACAGGGGACCCGGGGAGGCTGTGCCCCCACCCTGCTGCCGGGCCCCGCTTCCTGCCCACAGTCCCCACTTCCCTGGCTGGCCAGAGAAGGGGAAATAGCCGGCTGCATTTAGGCGTGTTTTTTTTCCCCAAGTTTGAAACTTGGTTCTCACGACAAAGGCTTCCAGGGGCCCCGCAGGGCAAGACCTGCAGTCGCCTTGGTCTGGGTGAGAGCCAAGCGGTGACTCATGCGAGGGCAGCACGCTGCAGGGGCCATTCCCAACGCAGCAGCTTCGGGGCTCCCGAGTGTGAACTGGGGGCTCTCCTGGCGCTCCCCAATTTCACAGAAAGCCTGGGCTAAACGCAGGTCATTCATGCTGGGGACTGTGGGGGATGGTGCTTCATCGGCTCTCCCCCCGGTGCGTTCAGAGCCCCTCCTGGCTCTCTCTCTGCCCTGGGTCCAGGGCCAGAGCAGCCGTCTGGGGGCATCCAGACTGGACCCTCAGATCAGGCAGAGGACCCTCTGGCTGCTGAGAGATATGCCCGTGACCACTGACCTAGGGGGCCCAGCAGTGCTGGCTCAGGACAGCTGTGCCCTCTAGCGTCAGACCCCATGCAACCAGCCCCATGTCGGGGAGAGGCCTCCAGAGAGGTCTGACCAGCATAGAGTCAGGGCACTGTGTGATCCTGGGCAAGTTCCTTAACCGCTCTGTGCCTGAGTTTCCTCATCTGCCAGCAAGGACAGACAAAAGCAGTGTGGGGGCCACCACACCATCCTGTCTGCACCTGGGGCAGGGCTGCCATCAGGGATGGGCATGACAGGAGAGGACCCCCCCCACCTGCCCAGGTGACAACCCAAATTCCGCGCTGCCTGTGGATGTTGGAAGTGCCTCCGTCTGTGCAGACAGGCGTGGGAAATCTTACCTGACACTGAGCTCACGCTGCAGCGGCAACACAGGGAAACACAAGGGAATGGGGTGGCGCGTCAGTGGTGGTGGCACTGCTCACCTCGCAGTCACCGGACAGCACGGCCCGTTGCCACCGTGCACCTCGGCCCGCCGGGCCACCCCCACCCGGGAACGGACCTGCCACAGTCCCAAGGGACAGTCCCAGGTAGCTGCCAACCACGGGAGGGAGCCAGCTCTTATGGCCCGTGACCTGGGCAATCTCTGGACCGGGCACAAAGAGCCAGGGCTTCTGAGGCTCCATTCCTCAGACCTCGGGCCTCCAGCACCCCATCCTGAAGCCTGCCCAGAGTGGCAGTGCCCTGAGCCGGCCCAGGGCATGTAACCAGGTTGGGACATCCCTCCTGCAGCAGTGCTCAGGATGTGGGACCCTGCACTAAAACCCAATGGTTTGGGAGGGACACTCCAGGCCCAGCTCAGGCTGGGAGTACCAGAAGGCACCTCCGCACCCCACGTTTTCTCAGGGAACCAGCTGCCTCTGGCCGGCACAGGGACACTGGAGGGCCAGAACATGGCAGGGACACGAACACACGGGGGCTGCAGAGCAGGCCTCTGACAGTGGCAACGGGGGAGCAGGGCCTGGGGCTGGGGGCGCTGCAGGGACCCCGGACCCTAGTCCAGCTGGCTCACCTCCTCCAGCTGGCTGTGCATGTGCTGCACGATCAAGTCGATGGCCACCGTGTTCCCACTCCCTGGGACGGGACAGGTGAAGAGGGTCACATGAGGTCCCAAGGCCCCTTCTGCCCACATTCCCAATGGCAGGTGGGTCTGCAGGCTCACCCCAGGGCACCACGATGTCTGCCACGCGCATAGTGGGCTGGATGTACTGGTCGAAGGCGGGTTTGACAAACTTGTTGTACTGCTTGATGACACCCTCGATGTCTCGGCCTCGCTCACTAATGTCCCGGCGCAGCCGCCGCACAAGGCGGATGTCAGAGTCCGTGTCCACAAAGATCTTCATGTCCAGGAGCTGGATGGGGAGAGCGAGGCGCTGAGCGGGGCTGGTGTGGGTGACCTGGGGACTGGCTCCTGCAAAGACTTCTGGCCCGGGAGCAAACCAGGCCCTTGGGGCACCTTGCAGGTCCGGCTGGCAGTGTGCATGGGTGTGGGGAAACGTAGGGGGGCGTGTACATGGCGAGTGGGGGGCACTATCCACCAGAGGCTTCGGTTAGAGGGCACCGGACGGACCCTGGCTGCGGAGGCAGGACGGAACTGGTACCGTTATGTGGGTCGTCAGCTACCTGTGTGCCCTCACACGTCAGGGGCACGGGGGACGTGTCCCCTCCCCACCATACCCCCCACCACAGTGCTTGGGTTTGGTGAGTTCAGGTCCGGCCTAAAGGGGCTGTTGGGGGGCTGGGTACTGCTGCATGGTGGGCAACAGGGCTCCCTGAGCCTGAGCCCAAACTCACTGGCCTCAGAACTACAAGGAACAAGGACCAGAGCACAGGCCTCCCTCACGAACCCACCTACAGCAGGGCCTGGCGGGAAGGACACAGCTGTGCATGCCTCCCAGGGGTCGGACAGCACAGACACAGGCCATCCCCATCCCAGGCAAGAGCACGCACGTGTGAACCAGCACCCACTACCCCAGGGTCACTCTGACCTCAGTGACTGCATGGGCCCCAGAGAGCAGCAGAGGAAACACAGACAAGAAAGTGAGCAAGCATTAAGAAGAGAAGGTCAAGGCACTGACCCAGGGCTTGCACCCACACCTGGGAGTGAGCCCCTCCTCAGGCTGCCTCCCCGACCAAGGGCATTCCCATTCTCTCTGTGGGAGTGGGGGGTCTGTTCCACCCAATGTCCTTGACCCACTCTCCGGACAGCAGCCATTCCCCACCCAACGCACAGTGACTGCACCACCGGGATGACACAGGTGACCGCGTACCACGGGGACAGAGGGAGTGGCTTGGCCTGCTTGGAGGAGGCAAGTTCAAGGTCAGAACCACAGGAGAAGCAGGGAGATGATTCCCAGCAGGACCGTCAGCCTTGAGCCCTGCCCTCACCTCCAGCAAAGTCTTGTCAGCAAAGGCCATGATGCCCTCGAAGATGATGACGTTTGCACCGTAGAGTGTTTTCTGCAAAGGAGTCGTGCAGCCGGTCGCCTGCCATGCCTGCCCCGTTCCCAGGCAGGCACGCACAGCCCGAGCCCACGAGGCCTACCCAGTCCTTCTTCCGGCTGTGGGTGGTGAAGTCGTAGACGGGCACCTTGACACTCTTGCCCTGTTTCAGCTTCTTGAGGGTGGACACAATGAGGTCAAAGTCGAAGGCGTCTGGATGGTCGAAGTTGAAGTTGTTGTGGGCAGCCTGCTCCTGTTGCTGCGTGGTCAGCACCTGTGGGGGGAGGCGCCAGGGGCTCCGTGGGCCCCTCCACACCACGCCAGGGCCGGGGGTGGGGGCAGGGCCAGGGGCATCCAGGCCCTACACAGACGTGGCCTGCATGGGCCGGCATGCTCCTCACCTTGTAGAAGGAGTCCATGGACAGCAAGACCACCCAGGGCACGTCCAGGGCCTCGATGATCATCCTGGCCACAGTTGTCTTCCCAGAGGCGCTGCCACCTCCCAGACCTGCGGAAGGGGGCAGCGCGACCCTGGGCAACAGCAGCAGGGCCAGCCCCCCAGCCTGGCTCCAGGGGGGCCCCCCACCCAACACTCTGCCTGCAGCTCCCCTCCCCTGCCCCCCAGGCTTGACAGCCCAAGGGGCCCGAGGCAGCTCACATCAGTGGCAGTGCCACTCGGGGGTTCGATGGCAGGTCCTGCCTTGCTCACCGATGGCAAAGGCCTCCTTGGACTGTGTGCCGTGCTCATTATACCAGGGCGGCCGCCCGGCTGTGTAGATAGTGCGCTTGCTGGTGCGCAGCAGGGGCGGCTCAGACTTGCACTGGCTGGTGGTGCGCTTCCGGGGTGAGCGCCCGGTGCCCACAGGTGGGAGGAGCCTGTCCAAGGATTCCGCATTGCTGCTGCAGAGAAGGACACGCCTGCCTCTGCCCAGGGCCACCAGCCACCCTGCCATCCTGTGTCAGGCCTGGCGTGGCCGGCCACGGGGTCCACCCCCCCCCACGCAGGCACACAGGCACCGCCAAGCTGGGTGGACCCAATTGGGGGGGCACACGAAAGCCGCCTGCAGCCCATCCACAGGGCTCCTGGCCTTGAACTGACTGTCACTGCCCACACACGTTCGAAGGGACAGCAAACAGCATTAGGGGCAATGAAGAGCGCCATCCTGGGCCTGGGCTGTCCCCTCAGATGAGAGGGGGGCACAGCAGGGCAATCAGGACCCCATCAAGGACTATGTTCCCTCCCACGACACTCTCTGTAAGACCCCATCCCTGCCACCCCGAGGGGCACATGGGGAGGGGGGCTCCCGGACAGAGAGGCTGCTGACAAGAAAGCTGAGCGGGCTGGCAGAGCCGATGGGTGCAGGACGGAGTCCCTGGGCTTGGAGGCCCGCAGGGCAGCCCTTGCTTCTTGCCGTCCAGCACACTGCAGACTGAGAAGGCAGGAGACCCCAGGAGCCGCAGGCTGGAAAACCCAATCTGGGGGAGGCACGGACAGCATCTGTGCCCTGCTCCAGCCGGTGTTGTGCCCCCTGTGCCTGGAGACCTGCTGGCTTCCCCGTGGGCTCATAAAGGGCACAGTGTGACTGCTGGCCCGATGCCTCGAATCCCGACAGTGAGAGCTCTGGGGAGGCGCCGCTTGGCTGGGCGGTAGTGTGTGCTTGCCGCCTGCTCAGTGCGTGCTGACGGGCTGGGTCACAAAAGCCTGGTGTAAAGACGGCCGCAGGGCCAGGACAAGCTCGGGGAAAGAGAGGGGCTGGGCTGGCCAAACTATCACCTTGCGGACCTGCTCCAGAGGCTTCCCGGCCGGTGGTGGCCACCGCCGCTGCTGACTGTCCGGGCAGAGGCCCTGGCGGGTGGGAGGAACGTGCAGGAAGTCATGGAGACGTACGGGGCAAGTCAGGCGTTGCAGGATGCTGCCTGCAGCACTGGCTTGTGCACCCCTGGTCTGGGACCCCAGGGATGCACCCTGCTCACCGTACTGGCATGAAAGCCTGAGAAGGACACAGACAGGGAAGGTGTCCTGAAGTCCACTTAGCTGAGAAAGCCAACTGCGGTAAAACGTGAACCCGTGTCTGTAAACCCAGCAAATGGAGAGCGCTCACCTGCACACACCTTCGTGTGAGTACACGTGAGCAAAACGGGATGCACAGAGAAAGATACAGACCTGCCAAGACTGCCCCGGGGACCAGGATTTGGGGCTCCTGCCACACCAAACATCTTAAGCACAGACCAAGCCCACTACCACTGCCACCCCCCCGGAGCAGTGCGAGGCCACGGGGTGCCAGGAATCCGGCTGGCGAGGGCCACGAGAGTGCCTTCCTGCGTCTGGAACAGCCTGGGCATCTCCACCTCGGGAACGCTCGTGTTCCCAGCTGTGCAGTCCTCCCATAGCACCTGGTGTTGCCAAGAGCCAGAAGGACGGTGTGCCTGTATGTCTGGGGGTCGGAGGCAGTGGAAGAAATTCACTAAAGCCAAAGGCGGGACAGGTCACGCCAGTAGCACTTGAGAGCCCTGAGGACAACCACAGCACAAGTCCTGGCAGTAAGAAACCAGTCATCGCAGGGCAGGGGCCACGTGGCACCATCCTGGGGGACAGGCAACACACGGCTGCCACGGCTCCTCATTGTCAGGACAGCACCAGGAGCCAGCAGTGGAGGTAATTAGCCAGTCTATGTGCTCGGTGTCACCTCCGCAGCTCTGGAGACAGGCACTGCCACCCAACAGTCAGTGTGTGGGGGACTCTGCCCAGCCTGGAGCTACCCCAGGCGTGCCGCCCACATTCCCGCTCCAGCAAGCCAGAGATGGACACGGCAGGGGGGGGGAGACTGGGGGAGGGGCCGGGAGGGAACAAGCAGAGGTGTCTCCAGGCCCCGGACGTACTCCTCTAACAGCACAGGGCACGTAGCCTCTGGCGCTCACCAGCGCACTGCCCTCCCAGCAGCAACCCACATACCCCGCAGAGGACAGACGGCCCTGGAGGTGATGGGGGGGCAGAAAACAAAGTCCAGCCCGGCCCCTCCCTCTGTGCCTTCTGGGAGAAAGCTCTACTGTGGAAAACCTGACTTGCAAAGGAGGAGGAGGGCCTCACCATCTCCCGAAGACGCTCTTGTGTGCTGGTGCCGAGCAAGTTCCCTCACAGCCGGGCCTGCCTCAGGACCATGTAGGACCTGTTCCCATCCCCTGCTTCTCACCCCAGTGCACCTCTCCAACAGGAAACTCTGAATCCTTATTTGTGAGGGTTCCTTGTCCCATTGAGGTAGTGATGGCCACGACCACGGACGACTTCTGAGGCTCATGCTGCTGACAGCCTGGGGCAGACACCATCCCAGGGAAGAGTGCCCATGCACCAGGAAGAGCAGAAAGTAGGCCAGAGAGAGCTTTGCCAGAAACCCGCCCCATCTAGGGCGTGTGATGGGTCTGAACAGTATCAGGCTGGGTGTGCAGCCAAGCCCAGCTCCACGGTCTTCTCCAAAGCCCCGTCTCTCTCTGGGAACCAGGGAGGAAGCCTCGCTGTGACCTCAGAGCAAGCCTCACCCCATTTTCTCAGCGACACGACCTTGGAAATGGGAATGTCGCACCAAAGATCTCTTTACCCAGCCCACAGAAGGACGGGGTGCGTCTGGCTACAGTGACAAAAGGTAATTTCAAACCAAAGGATTATGAGCCACAACGGACAAAGACTCACCTGTAACAGACAGCCCCAAGCAAAATGAGCCCCTGCTGGTGGCCAGCCCAGCCTGGCCCCTCAAGAGCACCTACCCAGCCTGTTTGTCTCCTGACGTCCATTAGACACATGATGCACGGGGCTGCAAGCGGCCAAGACACAGCAAAGGCAGGCTGCCTCACCACAGCCACGGGAGACAACAGGCCTGCCACTCACCTGCCTTCTGCTCCAAGGGCCCAGCACCCCGAAATCCTGATGCCAGGGTAAGCTGGGGGGCTGCTCATGGCTGGGACACAGGGGACAGTGGACAGCAGGGTGATCCCAGGTGTGTACAGGAACATCTCCACTGTGCCCCTCAGACCCACAGTAGCCCCCCAGGACAGCTGAGGGGCCACCTGAACTGCCCCTCCATGGGTGGGCAGGCGGCAGAACAGGTGAGGGGCTGGGGGAGGGGTTGGAAGAGCCCCGTGCGGAAAGAACAGGACCCACTGCCGCCTCAGAGGCTGAGGCCACAGGCATTAAGAGGATCACCCGGCTGGGGGCTGTGTGCTCTCCTGATATTAATAGCACTGACCCTGCTGAAAAGAACACCGTTGTGGGGCCTGGCAGAGCTCAGGCCAGCCCTGGGTGTGAACTGCACCTCCTGTGCACCGGCTGGTATACTGCTGGCCCAGGCTTGCTGAGGACCACAGTGCATCCCGCACCCCGCCCCCAGAACACCGTGGAAAAAACTCCAGACCCTGGGCCTGCTTGGGACTGTAGAGCCAACCCCCTCCTACCCACCCACAGCAGAATGGGGAAATCTGGGGAAATCAGGAGCTTTGCTGAATGTCAATGCTGAGCCCTGTGTCACACCCTTGGCCCCAAGGTGCCTTCTAGAGGCATAAACAAACCTGAAACTCTAGCCGCCTGCCCCGCCCCTCCAGGGCTAGGCTCCAGCACATCCCCCAAGGCCACCCAGAGCTCAGCGTTCAGCCAGGGGACACAGCCAGTCTCTAGCCTGGCAGCAGGAGAAAGAATGGGTTCAGTTTGCTGAGGATGGGTCAGCCAAAGGATCTTTACTTCAGTGTGTAAAGGGATCTGCATCCCTAAGTCCCTGGCCTCCTTTCCAGCTTTCTTCCTGACTTGGCTTCTAACAACATGGAGGCTCAGGAAAGAGAAAATTCCATGTAGGGTTTACATACCTGAAGAGGGGCCACTCCTGGAGGCTGCCTCAGGAGCAGCTTCTCCTGGCTGCCCAGGTACCAAGGATGTATCTGCCTCCCTGTCCGGAGGCACCTGGAGGCAGGACTGAACTGTCCATCTTTGCCCACAAGAGCTTCTCCCTCCTGACCCCTGGCCTGGACACATGGGCAGGGGCTAGCCCCCACTTTGGAGGCAGGAGCTGTCCTGGGCAGGGCTGCAGAGTTGGGGCGTGTAGCACCAGGGCCTCCACCCGTGCCTGACACCTTGTCCGGGTTTAGGGAAATTTGCTGGATGAGTAAAAATGAGGCCAGATGGAAGAGGGAGGAGCTGATCCACTGGGGCCTGGCCCCAGGGATCCCAGACTGGCTCAGGGACAGAGAGGTATCAGGGCTTTCTCAGGACAGATCAAGTACTGGGGGCGCTGGGCGGCTACAGCCCTGAAGGAGCTGAAACAGGCTTCGGAGACTTGCGTGGCCCCTATCCTACCACCCTGGAAACCTCCCTGCAGAAGCCCCTTGTTCCTGCTGCTCTGGACAGGTCCAGTAGGCCTTCCTCCATTCCCACAGCTTCAAACCCATCTCCACCTGGACCGCGCTGGGAGACGGCCTGAGGGGATCCCCGTTATCACCACCATGCTCATTTCTCTACCAGCATGTCCAATGCTAAAGTGTCCGAGGTCCCTGATCCTCCAGAGGAGGAAACAGACAAAGCACATGGAGGCAGCCGCCAATGTGGATGGAGAAGCTGGAATGACAGTCAGGGGCACGGGCACATACACCTGGATGCCGACCAGACCCAGCTCTGGGGCCCTCGGGGGGCGTGCAGGGAAACAGCGCTCAGGATACCAGCATCGGGGAATATAACTGTCAAGTCCAGAGGCAGTTCCGAGGCAGACCCCATGGGCCTCTGGAGAAGCGCGCCAGAATCTACACGTGCCACTGCCGGGTCCTGGCTCCCTTCCTCCGACCTCTGCCTCCCTGGGCACTGTGAGGGGCACCTGTGCCCACTACCTAACTCTGCACACGGGGTGGGGGCCAGCCTGCAGCTGCCACCGGTCCGTGTCTTCAGGGAGTGCTTTTCTCAAGACCTCATCTGGCCTTACCCTCTCCGATCTTGGCCTAACTCAAAGACTCTTTGGAATCGCCGGGTGTCACAGATTCAGGTCTACGAGACTCGGTCACCCTGTGCCAGGATCTAGTCACTTTTCGCTGGGAAGGTGTGAGCCTCCTCAGGGCAGCTCCTGGACCCCTCGCCTCGTTCCTCTCCCTGCCAATTCAGTGGCTCCCTGGCACCCAGACCATCCTGGAGGAGTCCAGGCACACAGCATTTCTGCCGTGGAAAGATCATCCAATGCCCGCGATGAGATGCCGGAGATGGAACGAAGGCTTCCTTGGATTCCGTGCCCGCCCCCCCGCCCTGTGGCTGTCGCTGAGCCTTCCTTAAGGGACAGTTCAGGCCCAGAAGTGAGGAGCCAGCCCTCAAGGGTGGGTCTCCAGAGCAGGGCCCAGCCGCTGCCCCCTGGTGGGCCGGGCCCCACAAGCACTGAGTAGAACCCCATTTCCCCTTGGCCTCTCCCATCTCCCCGGTCAGGGTGACAAAATGGCTCTTTCCCCGCTCTAGCCCCCCAACTCTTGCAGAGCCTCCACAGAGCCTCGGGGTGCGGCACAGCAGTGGGCAGTCGGAAGGTCCTCCAGATTCACGAACCCTGGCCTCTCGGGTGAGGCAGGAGCGCGGACAGGGCCTGGGTCCCCCTCAGAGCGTAAGGGAGGCACACGCTCCAGCCCCTCGGGACGGACACCAAAGCCAACTTTAGGAGAATCCGCTCTATCCGGCAGGCCTGCCCACGGGCCCGTCTCCGCTGGCCACCCGGGAGCGGCGGTGCACGCACAGTCTCACCTCCCCGCCTCGCGCCGCCGGCCCCGCCAGGCCCCACCGCGGGCGCCGGCAGCCCTCGCGCGTCCAGATCCAGCCGGTCGTGGTCGCCCCTGCCCGCAGGCCAGCGCCCCACGGCACGGCGGGCGGGGGGGTCCGGCTCACGGGGCCTCCCCCTCCCGCAGCAGACGCGAGGGGGCGTGCGCGGCCCCCAGCCCGTGCTCGGCGCGCCGCGCCTACCGGTCCTCGCACGCGGTCTCGCTCCTCTCCGCCGGCCGGTGGGGCCCGTCTCCGGCCGCAGCGGGCGGCGGAGGTAAGCGGGGCGCGTCAGCAGAGGCTGGGGGCGCCGCCATGGAGCTCGAAGGCCTCGCCGCGGGCCGCCGGCCGCAGGGCAGGCCTCTGGAGCCGGCCGCACTGGCCTCCGGGAGTCGTAGTTCGGGGCTTTGCGCCGCGCACCCGTTGGCGTGCCCCGCGAACTACAAGTCCCACAAGGCCCTACGGCTGTGCATGCCGGGACTTGTAGTCCGGCCTCACCCGCCGCGAGGAGGAGCCTTCCGCGGGGAAGGATTCCCACCCCGAGCTTTACCACAAACTCAGCCGCACAAAGCCCCTGGAAAAAAATCAATAAACATTTATTTGATACAGTCATATTTAATACATACAGTTGATGGCCCACCCCCGCGCCACTTTGGGCCGGGGAGGCGGGGACGAGGACCGGGGACAGATGGTCACAAGGTGGGCAGGGCCCGAGCTCACCGTCAAAACATCTTGCAAATAAACACTTTGTAGATAGAATATATATGTATATATATGGTTACAAGTGATAGCTGGAACCTCTCTTTCAAAATGCACTTATGTACGGAGAACTGGCATTAAAAAACCCAAACCAAGAAACCCAAAGCACAGGATGTGTGGTTGCCGGGCCAGAGGTGCTGGCCAGGCCCCCGAACCCCAGGCCTCCAGGGCAAGCCACCTGGGGCCCACCGAACTGGACACACCGGGACAGCCCTGCCCTCCGCAGATCAGGGTGCACCCGTTCTCTCCCTTCTGAACCGGAGGGACAGGAGGGGGGCTACAACTGGGAGGGCCACTGGTCACACCAGGATGCACCCTCATCTGCCTTTGCACAAGCAAATAAAGTGCATCCTATTTTTGTGTGAAGTGTCAGCCCCTTGAGTCGGCCCTTTCCTGTTCTCAGGGCAGGGTGGGGGAGGGGGTGGGCTGGGCTGGGCCAGAGGTAGATCTTCAGAAAGGGACCTGGCATTGTGCCCTGGGCTTGGGTCTTGGGCAGGGTCCGTGCCCACCATGCCCCGGGGGGTCTGCCACGCCAGTCCCTCTCATTGAAGGTGTCAATCAAGGCCAGGTGATTACCTGGCTGAACGCCCACCAGAGCGGGAGATGGGCAGATCCTGCTGAGCCCCGCCAGGGCTCTGCCCCCTTTGGAGGAGGGCTCTGCCGACCAGCTCACCACTGCCACTCACCAGAGCATGGGAAGCAGGAAAGGAAGAAGGGAGAGAAGGGTCCGACCCAACAGCCATGTTTGGCAGCAGCTCCCCACACCCACTTTAAAGACAAAGAAGGGGGTTAAAGTGCTAAACATCAAGTTACCCAGGACCCCACCTCTTCCCACACATCTCGGCGGGGTTCCCAAACCAGGGACCATCTGTGGACTTCAGGGGGCGACCTGGAAACTCACCCCCCAGCAAAAAACCAGCCCCCCACTCCCCAAGGGCCAAGTACCTGAGAGGCTGGGGCGGACGGCCGTCCCCAGCAGAGGTGTTGAGGTCCAACCTCCTCCAGCCACTGGTGACAAGGACAAAATGCACCTAGGGCTCCTGCCAGCCCTGCCCAAGGCTGCCCCTGCAGTGGCTGCCTGACCCCACCTCTGCCCCCACCAGCTGTACACCATAGTGACCCCCAGAACACAGAAAAGAAAACCCTTCTGCCCATGCAGTCCAAAGCCCTGCCCATACTGCCCTCCCTTGACCTTTGACACTGGATCACACCCACCTGCCCATGCCTCTACCCTTTGATCAAATCAAGGTGTGTGTGACTGGGGGTAGCCCGTGTCTCTATACCCCCCTCCCTACATCAGGCCAGGATTGCCCAAGTCGGAGCCTTCTGGCCAAAGGAAGAAGCTGGAGACAGGCAGCACGACGGGCCCCAGAGGACCCCCTGGAACCTGTCTCCTTACTGCAGAGCTAGGAGAGCTGAGCCCGACTGGGAGCCTCTCCTCTCCTGGGACTAGATGAGGACGGGAGCTGGGGGTGGGGGTGGGGGCAGAGAGGTGCCCAGTCAGCACTGCCTCCCTGAGCAGGGGAGAGACACCCCCTCAGTCCCCAGATCCACCGTCGGCACCAGGAAACCCTTAGCACCAAAATGTCAGAGTGTTGTGTTTTTGTATAAAAAACAGAATAAAAAAAAGGTTGTTACTTGTCACAGCAACAAGACTGGCATCCACTACACCCAGGAGACACACGCACACGGGCAAATATCAAAATTCACATCGTCCAGGATCGGCAAGACCGAGCCCTCAGCCCACCCCCACCCCCCAGTGGGAAATAGCCTCTGTCCAAACCCAGGGGCTCTGAGGATCTTCCTCCTCCCTACACTGCCAAAGTTGGAAGGTGAGGCCCAGGGAGGAGACCAGAGGCAGTGTGGTCACCTCCTCTGGGTGCCCTGAACTCCAGCCTGAACCCTAGTCAACCTGCACACCTAGCCATCCCCTTTGGGGCCCAACACAGAGCCACAGAGCTGCCACCAACACAATGTGACCTTGGGCAAGCTCCCTCCCTGGCCTTTAGCTCTCATATCAAAAGACCACACAACCAGAAAAACAAAAGGGCAGGTAAAAAAGGGGGGATGGGGACTCCCATGGGAGCCTAGCTACAAGCCAACCCAGACCAGCAGACAGAAGGCTGATTCCCACAGGGATTACTCCTCAGGGCTGGGCCCCAGTTCCCCACCCCACATGCCTGTGGGCCCCAGGCTGACCCCAGAGCCTAGACTGGCCCATCTCTAACCCGTTGGACTGCCCCAACCTAGACCAGTGACGTTAGTGAAGCTGGAGACTGGAGGCAAAGCTGTGCTCCACGTGGCCCCCTCACCCACTGCTCCTGCAGCCCTGCAGGTCAGACCAGAACCCTCCCCTCGCCCCAGGCAGGGAGCACCCATGGAGATGGGATGGCAGAGAGTCCACCCACCATGACAGACAGGGGCCAGTGGGGCAGGGGCCCAAGCACAGCAAGGGTTGCACAGGCAGGGGAGGGTAGGCCTGGAGAGGTAGAGAACAGAAGCAGAGGACCCAGAGGCGGAAGGACAAGGGAGGCCACGCTGGGGCAGGCTGTCAGGTCAGCACGGTAGCAGTCAGACTCAGGGTCTGTCCTGGGAGGTAGCTGGGGGTGCTGGGGTCCAGTGTCGGGTGGAGAGGTGAGGCTGCTCAGGTGCCCTCATCAGCCCAGAACCATGGGTCACCAAGGACCCCCAAGCCTTGGGCCTGAGAAAGCAGACGGGGCATGGAGCTCACACGGTGAAGGCCCTCTGCCTGCCCTGTACCACCCCGTGGCCCTGAGGCCTAAGCTGCAGACCCTCCTCCTTCCCACCCGAGGCCCCCGACTCTGCCAGGCCCATGAATGTCCCTGCACACTACTGTGCGTCTGTTACTGCCACAGGCCCTCCCCCAAGGGACCCCCAGCCCTGTGCACCCTCCACGGCCTGCACCGGGGGGGGGGGGCACCTTCAGGAAGGAGAGAGGGGCTGGCTGCCTCCACTGGACAGATGAACAGGCAGGGGTGGGGGATGGAGAACTGGAGAGCAGGAGGTGCTGGAGCTAGCTACCCCCACCCTCAACAGAGTGGACCTGGCATCCAGTGTGGGGGCCAGGCCCCACCCACCTGCCGGCCACCACGCTCACTTCTCAGGGGCCTTGCTGGCTCCCATCTTCCGGCCAGTGGAGCCCCGGGCTCCCTTGTCTCTGCCTCCTGGGGGCCAGTCGTCCCGACGGGGGGGGATCTTAGGCGCGGGCTCCTCGGGGGTCCGCTCCTTGGGCTTTCGGCCTCTCTTCTTTCCGCCCGCCAGACTCCTCTTCTCCTCTTTCTTGGGCGCCAGTGAGTCCTGGCTCCTGTGTTTGGGAAGTGGGTCTGCCGAAGTACGAAACCAGTTCTGGAAAGAAAATACACAATGCAGACCCTGGGGCAGGAGATGCTGGGCACTGGGGCTAGACAGGCCACTGCACTAAGGTGGCTGAGCGGCACCCAAGCTTCTCTGCTCCTCCAGGGGAGCCAGAAGCCCCGCTGAAGGGAAATCAGCAGATCTCTCAACTTTGGCTGCTCACTCCAAGGCCATACAAGCCGTGGCCCCCCCCCCCCGGCACTCCCGCCCAGGCCCAGCAGGGCGCTCAGCCCATCCCACCTCTGCATGGGTCTTGAGGATGTGATATTTGACGCCACTCTCAGAGCTGAACTCCTTCGGACACAGCAGACAACAATACTTCCCCACCAGGTGGTCTCCCTGCAAGGCACAGGGCGGGCTGGCCCCCAGAGATTGGACCCCACCCCCACCCCTTGGAAGACCAGAAACACCAGCTCCAACCAGGGCACCTGCCTCTCTGCCTGCACCTTTGTGCCTATAGGGTTGAGGCAGCCACAGCTCATCTGGCTGGGTGCTCAACAGGTGGGCTTCCGGGACCCATGAGGCTTCTTTGTGGCAGGACCTTGGAGTTGCCCCCACTATGGGAAGATAAGGGACACAGAGAGGATGGGAAGAGGCAGGTACCCCGGGAAAGGGTTGCAGCCTTTTCTTGAGGGCCCTCACCCCAAGCCCAGGTCAATGTGCCCACTTACACCCACACAGACAAGGAGCCCCTGTGGGCAGAACAACTTGGGGCTGATGGACTCATGGATAGGGCTGGAGTACCCTGGGCAGGGCTGGCCACCGGGCCCTGGCCAGTCCCTGTGCTTATGGAGGAGGCTGCCCCATGGGGGTAGGGTAGGGTCACACACCCAACGTGTGGGGACCTCTAGGGGTTGGCTGGGAGTGCCAAGCACCCGCCCCACCCTGACAAAGGGCCTGGGGACTGACCTTGCTGCAGCTAGCAAGATGCGCCTTAAGACCGGACACACTGGAGTAGATGGCTTCACAGCACTGGGGACAGGAAGCAACCGTGAGAGAGGGCCTCCCAGCAGACGCTCCCAACAAATATACACGCACCCGTTGCCCAGGGGATATGAGTGCAGGGCTTGGCCCCAGGAATCTTGGGGTATGGGCAGGCGGGACCGCTCCATCTAAGGATCCTGCAGGGGCCCAGGGATCACAGGTGAGCTGGTCACTTGGAGGCCCCCTCCCCAGGGCCATACCTGAGCTCTTTGTCCTTGAATATCCCAGTGTGCCCACACCCACTCCACCGGCCTGCCCCAACTCACGTCATTGGGGCAGTTGACATGGCCTTTCTCCTTGACTTCATTCTTCCATGCTTCCAGCAGCTGGGGGTTGAGCGTGGGGAGGCCTGGCCGAGTGTAGTTGAGCTGTAAAAACAGGTGCACACCGGGGTGAGCCCAGCGGGCCTGCGTAAGGGGAGCTCCCAAGTGCCAGGCTGGGGCTGAGCCCAGATACCCGCAGCTGCTCGAAGGACCTCAACTGCACCCTCCACATATGCAAGATTTGAACCTGGACAATCAGCCAATGGCCCAGGTCACAGGGGCAGGGCCGTCACAGGGGACCCGGAGCTAAGTCATGTCCTCACCCGGGCAGTCTCAGGTACCAGGTCGTCCTTCACCCGCCGCTTGGTCCAGTCTCGAGCCAGTTCGTCCTCCGCAATCTCCTGCAGGTGGAATACGGCCACCTGGGCTGACGTGCGGCGGATGCGGCCGCTGGGGGTCCGCTCGACTCCCAGCAGGTCCTCAGTTTCAGGGGGCTTGTCCTCAGGCTCCTCAGGTGGCTGCAGAGCAGGGAGGCCGGAGTGAGCCACGGGAGCCATGGGGCATATGGGCCATGAGTAGCAAACACAGAGGCACCTTGGCGGGGCGGGAGGGGTCCCAGGCTCACAATTCCTCATGCACTCGGCCCCCAGGAAGGGAGGACCCAGGCCACGGGCTGCTCACCGGGGCCGTGTGCTCTGAGCGCATGTGGTAATCGTGTCCAGCCTTGGAGCGGTAGGTCTTTCCACAGTGGGTGCAGGGGAAGGAGGGGCTGTCCACCTCACATGGAGGCTTTCCACAGCGTCGCTGGTGGTACTGGTAGCCCATGAGGCTGGAGAAGGCGGCCCCGCAGCCCTGGGGTCGGGCTTGGGTAAGTGGCCGGCAAGAGGCTGGCCCCATCCCACACGTGTGCCCCACACCCTGCCGTCCCACTGACCTCCTGGGGGCAGCGCAGCCTCCCCATCTGTTTCAGCACCTTGCGCAGCCGCTCCCGCTCCTCCTGCTCACTCCCCTCCGAGGCCTCAGCATCAGAGGGCTGGGGGGCAGGCCCAGCCTTAAGATCCCCACCACCACAGGGCCCCTGCCCCTGCCCAGGGTCAGGGCCACAGATGTCCAAGGTCAGGCATGGGAGCCACTACGCTCTGCTACCACGTGGTGATGAAAGGTCAGCGGGCAGGGCAGGGAGGGCAGGGGGGGATGGGCTAGGAGGCCAGCGGCGGGCGGGTCAGGGTGTACCTTGGCGCTGTGTTCGGCCATGGTGTGGTAGTTGAGGCCGGCCTTCGATTTGAACTGTTTCCGACAGTGCTGACACTTGAGAGCGTCCTGCAGCTGCAGACACGTCCCAGCCGTGAGACGCTGACTCTGAGCACCTCCCCACCCGGACCCCCGGGCAGCTTTACCTTCTGACACACTTCCATGTGCTTCTTGAGCCCCACGAGGGTCTTTCGGGTGACCACGTTGCAGGTGGGGCAGACGGCCTCCCCCCGTTCATGGATGGCCCGCTGCCACTGCTCCTCAGGGCCACCTGTGGGGCAGGGCCAGGGCCTCAGGGACTGGTGGGGGCTCCCGGACGCCCTGGACGCCAAGCACAGGACCCACGGTCCACACTCAGCCCCCAGTCCCTGTGGTCCAGGATCTGCCCCAGAGTTGAGATCTGTCCTGGGCCCCGCCTCCCGGCAGCCCCCCGACCTGGAGCTGGGTGGGCCGTGGGGGCCGGCACTTCCTTGCTGACAGGGCTAGCCGGAGCCAGCACCTTCTTCCGCACGTCCTCGGGGCCCGGCCCCTCCTGCTTCTTGGCACGGTGCATGCGGGATTTGTCCTCTGCCTTGGCCAGGCCTGCGTGCACACACAGGAGAAGGCGGCTGTGAGCCAAGGGTGCAGTCACACGTGTGCATCCAGCTCCAGATGCTCAACGGGCCAGCGCCCTACCTTTGAGTCCGAAGGTCCCTGAGATGGACGGCTGCTCCCCTGTAAACTTCTTGGGTGTTTTCTGTTTCCTTCCTGACTCGGGGGAGAGAAGACAGGGGCCGAGGTTCTGGTCAAATAACCATCGGGAAGCCTGGGCCAGCGGACGGCTACCCAACGCCAGCCACTGCCCCCCCGCTCTCCTCTTACTGTGCTTTGTGCGCTCTGCTCCCGCCTCGGGTGGGGACACGGGGCCTGCGGCCCTCGGTGCTTCCTTGCTCCCCAAGAGTCTGCTGCCCAGGGAGAGGGGGCTGCCGCCGGGGTCTGTGCTCAGCTGGAAGGCCGAGCTGTGGCCCGTGGTGGAGGGGCCATACTCCCCGTTCTCCGGCCTCGCCTGCTTTGGCAGGATGGGGCAGGCATCCAGGCTGTCCGCTGCCCTGCAGGGAGCAGGCAGGTGAGGGGCAGGAGGGCCCACTTTGGGCCCTGTTACCACCTCCAACCCAGAAGGAGACCCCATACCTTTTCTTACCGCTGCTCCTCCCCGTGGCACGAGGAGCTTTGTTCTCAGACTTGGTCAGCAGCACCATTTTGCAAGGTGGTGTGTGTCTGCTGATGGCGATGGGCCGGCTGACCGTCACTGGCTTACTGACCACAACGGGCCTGCTGACCGTCACTGGCTTCGTGACTGGCATGGGTTTCGTAACCGTCACAAGCTTTGTCATCGGCACCGGTTTGTTGATGGTCACCGGTTTGGTAACCGGCACGGATTTGGTGACTGGCACTGGCTTATTGAGAGTCACTGGCTTGGTGACTGGCACAGGTTTGGTGACCGGCACAGACTTGGTGACTGATATGGGTTTGGTGACAGGCACAGGCCTGCTGACCGTGACAGCCTTGGTGACCGGCACAGGCCTGCTGACCGTCACTGGCTTGGTGACCGGCACAGGCCTGCTGACCGTCACTGGTTTGCTGATGCCGATGGGTTTGCTGACACCCACAGGTTTGCCAATAGTGACAGGTTTGCTCACTCCAATGGGCTTGCTGACCCCAACGGGCCGGCTGATGGTGACCGGCCGGCTGACTGGCCCAGGCTTGGGGGCAGGCAGGGGTCGGTCCATGTGGTTCCAAATGCGGTGCTTCTCCAGCTGGGTCTTGGAGGTGAAAGCAGCCTCACAGAAGGGGCAGGGAAAGGTCAGCCTTTCTGGGATGGCGCCCTGAGGGGAAAGGGCAGACATGGGGAGGACAGCCTGAGGCCACTGCCCACACACACCCTACACAGGCAGGTGGGGCAGGGTGGGCCCCAGGCCTCTTCCTCCTCCCTGTCCCACTGCCCCTTACCCCTTGACACCGCTGGTAATGATACTTGAGCCCGTAGATGCTGGGGAATTCCAGCCAGCACCCTGAGTTTGGACACTTCACCCTTGAGTGTGCCTTGAATTCGTCTTTCCACTGGTTCATCAGGGAGAGCTGGGCATGGAAAAGGCGAGGCTGCTGACCCCTCAGCCAGCTGGGCCTCTGCCAAGCCCAGCCCCAGACTCAGCACCCTCCCCAGGCCTGCAGGGCAGACAGGCAGCAAGAACCCCCGCACCTCAGGACTGCAGAAAGACTCAGGCTGCTCCAAACAGCGACTATGTACTAGACCTGTTCTAAAACCCAAAAACGTGGTCCACTAGGTCCCAGGCCACAACACGAAGCCTTAAAGCATGGAGCGACCCTCTGACACAGGCTGGGAGGGCTTGGGGCTGGATGTATGGCAAGCTAGCTAAGGCAGGGCAGTGGTCATGACAGGCAGATCCCAGTGTGAGTCCCACCCCAGCCTTCAAGGAGCTCACAGGAATGTCTCGGAGGGCCTGGTTCTCAGCTTTCGGACGCCCCTTCTTCTTCCCTTCGGTCCTGTCACTGGCTGGACTTCCCGACTCAAAGCAGAGTGGGGCCTGGCTGGGCACTGTCTGCCCACCCCGGGCCACCGGCATCCCTGCAACACATGATATGTCAAGACTTAGAAGCTGTGCTTCCCACGGCCTCGCCTGCCACCCAGGGGGCTGGTCAGGCCTGGAATAAGCCCCACTTCCCCCATAGTGAAGCATGGGGAATGGGAGACTATGGTCAGCCGAGGACAAAAATCCAGGGCCCCAGGCTGCCCCCACCCTGGGAAGGCTCTCAAGAGCCCAGGCAGCCCAGGAGCCGGACCACTGGGGAACTGGGAGCCAGGCAGGAATCCCACACCCAGCACTGGCTGCCTGCGATGATCGCCTAGAGTTGACCTTGGCCTGACCTCTCTTACCCAACTTTGGTGGGTCGTGCAGCACAGGAAGTCGGACCTCATTCCGGCCTCCATCCTTCCCAGGTCCACTCTTGGTGGACCCTGGGAGCCGGCGGCCTCCTCCAACGCAGAAGGGATCAGTCATCTCTGCACAGCAAGTGGACAGACCTGTGAGGCCTACCAGGCCTGAGTCAAGACTTGAAATGGGCTGGCCCTGAGCCCCGCCCCCCCAACAGGCCCCTCTCTGGCTCAGGAAAGGAGAGACTACCTGCCTATGTATTTGGCCACACGGGAAAATAGATGACGGAGGCTTCTGGCTTAGGGGAGGGGCTGCCCAGATGAGATCCCCCCCAATTATACAGGAGACACAATTATCTTGGAAGCATCTAGCACTGTCCTGAAACCCTCATCAGCTCCCACAGACTTCTTCTGTCCCCAGACACACAGTCCCAGAGAGTGCCAAGAACCACACCTGCTACTGGGCTGGGGGTGGGGGGGCCCTAAAGAGTGTTCAGAAGGAAAGAGGTCAAGAGCATCCCTCCCAGGGGCCAATTATGGCACCAGTATGGCTGCTAGCTCGCGGGCTGTGCTGGCCCAGGACCTTGGGACACCTTTCTCCACAGCCCCACCCAGACCAAAGGCAATGCCACACTACTTGGGTGGCATCCCTGAATACTTCTCTCCAGGACACAGGTGGCAGATGGCCAAGATGGGCACTGAGGGCCCCTAGCCTACTCCCCAACTTAGCAAGTTCCCCAGGGGACGTAGGTGGCTAAGGACCGAGCACCCTACAAGCACCTGGTTCTGGTCCCCATGCCAGCTGAACCATCCTATCTGACCCTCTTCTCAGCCTTGTCTCCAGCAGGAACCCCTCAGTCAACCCTCTACCTGGCTGACCTCCTCCCCACCTCCACCCTCAAAAGCCTCTCTGTCCCCCACCTACAGGCCCACCAGCACCACTCCTCCAGAGACCACCAGCCACTGGCCACAAGGAATACCCCACTGCCCAAGGCTGGGTCTCCATAGGCCTGTTCTGCTGGGGGACCCTAGACCCTGAGAGCTGGGGGGAGGGACTCTGAGCTCAGCCCTTCTGGATCCTCCCACAGGGACACCCAAGGCCACAGGAAGAGGGCTGGGGGCAGTTGTGTGGGTAGGGGGCCCCTCCTCTGGCAGTTTCCAACTAACTTTAGATCAGAGGAGATGGGGAGGGACTGCAGTGCCTAGAGGGGGTCCAGAGGCTGACATCAAAGGTAAGGACAGTCACTACCCGCTGCCAAGGGGGTGCCCGTACCCTAAGCCTGGGGGGAGGTACAGGTCTACGTGGGCCTAAACAAACTTCTCCGAAGTCCTCACACGGAAACTTCTAAAGGAGACTGCCAGCATCAGTCACCCCAGCCCCAGGATAACTCCAACAGCCTGGGGTGTGGGTGCCTGCCAAGAACCCACTTTCCAATCTCTCTCCAGCTTGGGTGGAGAATTCAGAGCTGGGGGGTTGGGGACAGGGCTGCCCTAGGAGGCTGACACCCTCTTTCCATCCGGAACCTGTCACTTGCACAACAGGAGGAAAAGAGATTCCACCCTGCCCCAGGGCCCAGCAGGGTCGCAGGGGTGGGACCCTCGCGGCGGGGGGTGAGGGGGGGCGCGCCCCAAGCAACCCTGGCGGCAGGACCGGGGCCCAGGCTGGGCGCACGGATGAGGCTGGCCAGGGAACGCACACCTGGAGGCTGGCCTTGCCACCCACCTGCCACCTGCGGCCGGGGTGCGGAGCCCT